ATTCCCCAGGGTGGAGTACACTGTGTGAGGCCCATTTCTGGTGCACCCCCCCCCCCCCCCCCCCCCCCCCCCCGCCCCGCCTAAACGCAGTGTTTAAAAACAATTCACCCAATCATACCATGACGTGAACACCAATAATGGGTTTCAAACATTGTACACATGAGGTGAGGTGAGGTGAGGTGAGGTGAGGTGAGGTGTTATGGGGTTTAACGTCGCGTCCAAGATTATTGCACTTATATAGCGACGTGCATGTACGTGTGTGTGTTTGAGTGGCTGCTTGTACTAGTACGGACTGATGCCGATTTATAGTGCTAGCTCACTGAGATGCCATGCCGCAGTTTAACATGAATACCCCACTCAGACACAGTATACTGACTCCGAGCCGACCAGTCCTTGTTTTAGCCCCTTAATGCCGAGCGCCAGACAGGGTAACAACAAGCACCATCTTTTAACGTCTTTTGGTATGACGCGGCCGGGGATCGAACCTCGGAACTTCCGCTCTCCGGGCGGACGCTAGACCACGGAGGCGGTCTACACATGTAGGGACTCGAACTCAGGTCTTCGCTTTTCGAGCGAACGTTTGATCTGTACGCAACATAACTTCCCCTTTTTTAACTCTCAAAAATTCACGGCAATGCATACACCGCGTCCCCCTTAAAACCCTGACTTTCATAACCATCAACAACGTAAGCGTCAATCCTGTTTTTCAAACAAACAACGTTAACATAACGTCTGAAATGGCTGGACAAAGCTCGGCCTCAGAGTTGTTTTGAATGGTCTGAATGTCATTTCTCGGCAGGTGCTACATGTGGGTCCTTTTTACTGGATAATAGGCGGGAGTGACCCAAAGTTGCGTCCCTTAGATTTGTCAGGATCCGTGTCACTTGCTAATTTCCCCACACTAAGCTAACACATATGGGGATTCCTGGAAAGAATAAAGGTCACAAGAACCTAGGATTGTTGTATGAGGCAACTAACAGGGTCGGGTGGTCAGACTCGTTGACTTTGTTGATTGCATGTCATCAGGAAGTAAATCATTGGATTTTTAAGGTCAAGATTTGATAATTTACAGACCGCCGTCATAAATAGTGCTGAGTACAAACAAATAACACCCATTAAGCTAACAATCAGTGATGTACCTAAATAGTACACAAAACGGCGTTAAACCCAACTCACTCACTCATTCGGAAGTGGATAAAAAGATACATGGCAATACGTTATCTGGACAAAGTCAAGGCTGCTGAAACACCGCGAGCGTTGTTTTTATGCGACCGCCCCTTTATGTCCCGATAATGCATTGTAACGAGTTCTCTGTCGCACTTACAGAGCAGCCATAGATCACGGGGCGCACACACACTGCCAATAACACTCAGTCCAATGAGGCAACTGTCTGCAGTCCATTTCCCGGATATACATATGCTCAACACGTGATCAAATGGCATTGGACAAGAGCGTTTGGTTGAGCTTCACTATCGTCTCGTCGGGTAGTTGATTAATCAACGATTATTTAAAGACATTAAGCTGACACGCCGTGATATAACTGTAATACTGTTAAAAGCGACGTTAAACCCAACTCACTCACTCACTCACATCCATATCAAGACGGAGGCTCCACACATTGTACAGAATCGTAGACGATTTCACCACAAGGCTATACCCTCAGTGGCGCTTGCTGTCTTCTGTACTGACCCACGCCGTGTGTAAATTAGGGAAAATTAAACCCGTCGAAATGGTTCGTGCAGTTGTGTGCCCTAAGTAACGAAATACCTGCAGCCATCATACTGGACATCAGCCTTTCTCAATACACACTAATACGACACTCACTGGAGATGCTCGTCTTTCAGCATCTTCCCGTCTCATTACAAAATCTACACGAATACAATGTACTTTCTCATTCGAGCTTGAGAACGGTGTAAGAATCTAAGTCGAAACGTCTGATCATTAAGCCAAAATCCATAAAGTAGGTATTTCTTATTGAATACAATACGGTCACGCATAAGTAAGATGAATTTTGTAGACTTACAAGAATACCTAGGTAGGGACATTTTTTGTATTCCCTTTTATATTTAGTTCTGGTAACGTAGAATAGGTCTTCAGCAACCTATGCTTGTCGAAAGAGGCGACTATGCTTATCGAAAGAGGCGACTAACGGGATCGGGTGGTCTTGGCTTGCATAACTACATAGTTGGTTTGTTTGTTGTTTAACGCCGCACTCAGCAATATTTCAGCTATATGACGGCGGTCTGTAAATAATCGAATCTGGACCAGACAATCCAGTGACTGACAACACGAGCATCGATCCACACAATTGGGATCGATGACATGCATCAACCAAGTCAGCGAGCCTGAGCATCCGATCCCGTTAGTCGCCTTTTACGACAAGCATGGGTTGCTGAAGACCCATTCTAACCCGGATCTTCACGGGTCCATCACTACATAGAACGGACACGCATCATTTATCTGATATAATGTGATCATCAATATCCAGCGGGGCGGTCGGGTAGCCTAGTGGTTAAAGTGTTCGCTCGTCACGCCGAAGACCCGGGTTCGAATCCCGACATGGGTACAATGTGTGAAGCCCATTTCTGGTGTCCCCCGCCGTGATATTGGTGGAATATTGCTAAAAGCGGCGTAAAACCAAACTCACTCACTCACTCACTCAATATCCAGCTGTATGACGACGGCCTCTATATACTAGAAGTCGGGTCAGATGTTGATGTGTCAAACAGCATTAGTCCAACACTGTAATTCATACACCTATATAGCTCCCGTGGAGATCGGGGTTAGAATTGGTCTTCAGGAACCCATGCTTGTCGTAAGAGGAACTAACAGGATCGTGTGGTCAGGCTCGCTGACTTAGTTAATGCATGTCATCGTATCCCAATTGCGTAGATCGATGCTTATGATTTCAACCACTGGATTGTAAGGTCCAGACTCGATTATTTACAGGCCGCCGTCATATAGCTGGAATATTGCGGAGTGCGGAGTGCGGCTTTAAACAACAAACAAACAAAATATTTCAGGTAACTTTGTCTCTTTGTATTTGATACAGTCAGACAGATTACTCCAAGATAAGAACACAGTCAATCCGAACACCAGTAACGCATATTTCCACCCACCCCAACATCCATTTTCTTTTATCAATTTACTTCATTTGAATTCCGGGTAGATTTCTCTATTAATCCTAATCGCAAAATAAGACTAAATGGACCGGGTAGTCAGGCTGTGTGATCTTGCTGGCCGTGCGTTCTGGTACGCACCTTCGCAATAGTCCTGTCAGCGGAGAAAAACAACATTGATTCACTCACTCACTCAGAAGCTGAGCATGAGTTATGAGTATGGCTCGACGCCCTGAACGGCATTTCAGTGTCACGGTGTGCCATATATTGGCAGAAAGTCAAACTGTTAGATCTTAGATGTTTACCACTATGCTGAAAATCCAATCACTGCTATGGTGCTGTCAAACCAAGGATCATAATCAGGGCGAATCTGGTATTGGGACCCACAATCATCGGATCTTTGTGCGACCAAGGGACGCAACTCTGCGCAGATAATCGTCGCTCTTAGTCCACATTATTACCCGTTTTGCACATTAATCTAACTGAGTAGACAAGTAACTGATGAGTACCACCGTGCCTGAGTTCACTGCCCTGATAGCTTATTCCCGAGGGTGAGTATAGTTGCCACACTGTAACCATCCCTAAGTAGCCACCATGCTAGAAGCATAACCAACCATAATCACATGCTACAAGCCCGATTTCCCCGAGGTGCTCAGTCAATACAGGAAGATGAATATCACACGTCAGTGCTTCTTCTACTAAACAATTACTCTTCCCTGAGCATAAGAAACCCTAACTCCAATGAACTTTGTTACGATTCTAATCGTTAATGAATCAAAATCAGGATATTTATGTTGTTGATATGAATTCACGTGTCTCAGCCTGGTTCCCTGGCTATGCTGCGCTGGCAGTGTAGCGCCAGCGCAGCATACCCAGGCTGTGACGAGTCTCTGCGTTAGCGTAGTTTCACTATTCAACCAGTTTTAATGCCAACATGAACTGGGAGCCGTTATGTGTTCGTTCTTATTGCACTGTGACTGATTTAGATTGGCATTTCAGATACTAAATAGTCTATCCTTCCCCCGCGGTTGCGTTCTTCTTGTAATAAACACGTAGAAATAGGTGTCATGTCTATGAAATCCAACACAGCCTGATGGCAATATCACTTAAATGAGTTTAATCTATTTTAGATTTTTTTACTATCTCTCCAACGAGTAGGACAAAATCTAAAAATATGTGAAATTCAAATCGGAGCTTCGCAGAGATTGGACTTTAAGAACACAAGGCCATGCACGACATTTCTCAATGAATCGTTGTATCAGAGTAATGGAGATATAAATCAAATGCGATTGGCTTAAAATAAAGTCAGAGTTAATGCAATTCAAGATAGATGAGATTTAATAATAGTGCTCGAAGTGTTAATAAAAAAGGGCAAATGTTCGTCGAAACAGCCGCATTTTTTTGTCCGACAGGACATTTGAACTTTTGCGGTATTTGTAGCCGTCACTATTGGCAAATGGAAACATCGGTAATGAAATACATGTATACTACTCCGGCTTTGATGGGGATGTTTTGCATCTTTCGATGATACACAAACCTGGTAACTCATAACATGTCAGGTGTATATCAAAAGGTGAGTAGTATGTACATAAAACATGGCATCAAATACAACAAACCATATTCCAGTGTGATTCAGGGTAGAATTAAATAACACCTTGGATTTAAAACGAGTATGCTCAATATTGTTCAACGCTGCTTTGAACAGTATTCGAGTTATATCACGGCGTGTCAGCCTATCAACCACTTTGGTGAAACCCCGAGCAGGCTATGGTCCTGACAAAGGATAATAATCAAGGCGACTTAAGGGATTCGGGCCCGCGAACATCGGATCCGGACGTTGCTAAGGGGCGCAACTCTGCAGAGTGTTGAAGCTAGACTTACCACTCTCCTCTGTTCTCTCAGACAGGATGGGGCTTGCCTTCCCAGCTCCGGCGTTATTTACTGCCCGAACCTTCAAAATAAATAAACTGGCATTACATTGAGTCGCAGTCAACATCTCGTAGTGCAATGAACCATTATCGGTGTGAACCGATATGTAACCATGGCACTATAACCGACGTTACTTCGGGAGGTTAAACCAGTGGTTGGTAGCATGACAACGTTTAGATAGGCCACACACATCCAACCGATCCTTGTCAATCAATCCCTACTATAAGTAATTGGTACTCGGTAAAAAATCGGAGACGGTTCCCAACGGTCGAGTACGATAGCAATATTCTGTGTGATGTGTATTCAAAATGGCATCACAACGAATTCGAATTAATCTAATGTGCCTCCATTGCCCTAGGGATCTGGCCCCTTTTCACCAAGCGGCCACAGCTCGAGGAATGTCGTAAGTCTATGTTAAAATATAGGGTAATCGTAGCGCTAGGATCACTCTCTAAAATGTGACCCTGTTTCTGAAAGAGATTTCAGCCCGAAGGCAATCAATCGTAACTCCAATACGTTGACTTGCGATCGGCGTAGCGCTAAGATCGCTTAGTGAAACGAGGCTCTGGTACAATAGTATTTTCACTTTTATTACCGAGTTGCGTCGGTTGTTGAAATATGTTCAGTCGTGCATTATAACGAACCCATGAGAAAAAATAACAAAAACATAAAGTTTTTGGAACCATTTGCCCCTAACAGGGTTCCTGAATTGTGTTTTACATTTTACGATGGTATTGGATTCTATGTCATGTTGTGTTTTCCAACTACAATTTGTTTACACCATTGGACCTCCTCGCCCATCATGGGTTTTTGCTTTCCATTGACAATCGCTTCTGCCCAAGAGCTCCGAACATATTGCACCAAAGCAATAAAGCCTAAAATTGATTTCTGTCGCCAACTGTTGATGTAAATACCACTGTCGATAGCTAATAACAGTGTCTTCAGAGATAATTGAAAACATTTCACGTGTTTCAGCTTCACAAATTCAACAGCAAAATTGTTTCATACAAAAAAGTCCCTACGTTTAATCCACAACTTTACCCCCTTCCTTAACTAAATTGCCCGCGTTAAACAGATTAAAACATATTAAAAACTTATAATCAAGGTATATACAATGATGTTCTCTTTATATATTAAAAAAAGTTCCACATTTACAGATCCCCCCAACGTATTCTGTCCAATGTTTGTCGAATGTTTGAATTCATAACACCAACTTCCATAAAAGAACAAAAACGTGTTTTCTGTCATGTTAACGGTTACCAAACCTATTTAAATTGCGCTTGCTTGGCGCCAAACGTCTCACTAATCCCTCAAGGCTTACACACCGACCAAAACATTGAGACGAAGTAGTGAGCGTTAGAAATAAATCGCACAGCTAATTCGTGAAATCGGGAATCATTCTTATTTCGCGACATTCTGACTGCCCCCACAGCTTCTTCGAGCTTTCGAAGCTTGTGTATGTACGTGAAACAAGCGGTTGTAATCAAATTATGTCTCAGTCTGTTTAGAACTTGCAGACTCTGCTACCTGCCTGGATCGGTGTAAGGAGCTCGTGTTATATATCGTCAGTTTTTTCTCTCTGCTGCGACAAGGTGGTGTTAATTGAATGCCCCAAAGTCGGACCTGTGATCAGTTTCGTATACGTGGTAGACGGTTTTCATCGAATCACAATCACTTATTTATCTTGGAAGTCTATAAAACTGTCTGTCTAATCAGGAAATATATTTTGAGTGTAATAAAGTATAAAAGGCTTTAAAAAACGACTCCATATGGAATTAACTGTGCTGGTTGAGAGATTATATTTTGTCTGTTGTCTGATATTTTATGACCGTGTTTGAAATATTGATAGAGATTAACGGCCGCGTCCTTGTGGTTAGTCTTGTTAATATTATCAACATTGTTGGGTTAAAAAAAACAAAAAACATTAGATCAATGCAGTAGCGTTAAACAACCTAAGATGTTCTTTGTCTATGATTTACTCTTTCACTTTTTTTCTAACAGAAACCATTTCAAGTAATGTAACTTCTTCTCCATCACCTATCAGATTACCCATATAGCAATGACACCTGACAAAACTAGATGAGAATTATCAAAGTAACGAAGCTATTGTATCATCAAAGCATTAAAAGCATTTAGTAAAAAACGAATTGACAAAAACATTCAAATCTCGTTCCAAAACAATCGATCAAATGCCAAATATCGACAAACACGAACAAAAGCTGTTTATAAGGTTGTCACAAAATGAATGAACTATTACATACATATCACAACCATTGCACTACGCGTTTTTTCTGACCAATCTCATCATAGGTAGGTTGTTGCGTTAGGTGAACTTTTTAATCAACCAATCAGCGTTGAAGCTTATAAATTCTCGGTACAAGTGAACGAAGCATTCAGATTTCTGATTTCTGTATCAAGAAAAAGATTATAATCGGAGTGTTCCGAATGCAAAAGAGTAAAACCGCGATTTAATAGTGGTCTGGATATTTATACAACCTGCCGTTTCTGAACGCCATGGCATGTGCGTCTAAAAGAGTGATAGATCTAAAATACATCATAAGAATTCCTAATGCAAAAAAGCTACAACCTTTCATCTTCTACCATAAATCTGGTCTGGTATCATTAATTCAATCACACGCCACCGGTATCACTTATGATATGTCATCGTAGTAATATTTGCATCTCTTCTAAAGCCCTCCAAAACCCCCGCATGTAGTGTGGTGGAGTAAATACAACAGTTCCAGCGTCAGCAAGCATAGGAAGGGGACAATTAGTACCCATCTCCCTACTTCCCCGTTATCTAGTGTTACAAGCATCAGCACGATACACCCCAGGGCATAATTATGTCCCGTATGTCCCACATCAAAGGGAACGCTCGGCAACTAACGATCTGGCTTATAGTCGAACATGTTCGATGACTGAAAAATACTTCGTTTCTTTTGACATGGGTCGGAGCCAGATGTATTTGAGCTAAAATTATCTACAAAATATGTATTTATTTTTCATCAAACAGAGATGAATGTATGTGATGATATGGCACTTTTTGTTGTGACAAGTATTATCGAGATTTTATAGTGCTGTACTGGCGTGGTAAATATTTTTACTTCAAAGGTAGTTTTGAAATATACACTTTGATATGACAAAGTGATGACAGGCTGCTATATCTTCAAAAAGAAGAGTCACTTTTACGTTTTTGATATAAGAATATGTTCTTTTTAGACTTTGGTCCATTTCACCCCAAAATGGACTTCATATCTTTATTGTAGGATGTGATGTGCTGTTCCAAGCGGTTTAAAGAAATTCAACGCCAATGTGAAACTGATAATGTTATATAAGTGTTAATGTTAGCCACAGACATCCTGACAAACACTTCAAAAAGGTTTGTTTGTAAAAAAGTGCTAAAATAAAAGTTTGAATGTTCTCTTGGAAGTGTTTGATCGTGCCTCTTCCTTAAGTATTTTATAAAAAATCTCCACCATCGAATTGGATAAGATCTTTTAAGAAATCCATCCTCCACAAGCAAACTACATGGTCAATGAGATCATATTTGAAAACAAACAAAACGTATGAACTACGTCAAAAAGCTCAAAAACAGATAAAAGGGCGTGCTATAAAAAGCCATGGATGACTAAATTGAAAAATGACCGCAAGTGACTCAGACTTTGAGTCGCATGGTCATGGGCAATCAACTATACGGGAAATCAGATGTATTACAAAATAATTGCAACGCCGGAGAGGGAGGGGGTGCGTTTACTTGTTGTATTTGACTGAGCCTCTAGAGTGAGTTTTTTCTTCTGATCGATTTCAGTAAAGTTTATTGAATCCATTCAGGCTAAAGGCACCAAGGTCTGTCTGACAGGGCCAGCTAGAATCTGACAGTGACTCAACCTTCTGTGCGACACGTGCATCGCATTTGGGAGGTGCATTCCACCTGAATCACCATGCTAATAGGATTTTGATATAGACTGATTAATTTGGATGTTCACTGCAACAAGCGTTGGACAAGAGTTATGCCATTTTACTGGGAATCTAACTCCATTGAGAATAATTGAATTTTACAAGATTAAGTGTTAGGAGTCTTGAAGACGCAACTTTTTCTTTTGAAGATTGTGTTAGGCTTGAAACAGACTTTGTTCGTCGATGTTAGAAAGGGATGTTTGTATTTAAATATTTCAAAGGAATAACGACTTCAAGACTATTGGTCAAACAAGCCTTCGGTATATAGCCGTATATTCGCATTTGGGTAATCTTGTATTGAGTACGGAGAAGCCTTGTCAACTCGACCTCCTGTAAGTCGATATGTTGTGTACGACGATGTAACGTAATGTTTCCCGAACAATCCCTATTTCCAGTATGGTAATATTGGTAATCCGCTTGACTCGAACTACGGGTAACTGATGTTTAGATGTTGTTATACGCCGCACTCAGCAATATTCGAGCTGTATGACGGCGGTCTGTGAAAAATCGGTCAGTAAAAATTCGACATGAGCATCGATCGACGCATTTGGGATACGATGATATCCATCAACCAAGTCAGGGAGCCTGACCACCCGAACCCGTTAGTCGCCTCTTTCGGCAAGTATTGGTTGCTAAAGACGAATTCTTACCCGTATCGTAAGACAACAAAACCCCTTTCCATTATTATTAGCAATCAATTCAAGGTTTTTATTCGTATGAGGCCACAGTGACATACACAGAGATGTTGAACACACACACATACATACATGCATGCATGCATGCACGCACGCACGCACGCACGCACGCACGCACGCACGCACGCATGCACGATATTCATAAACCCTTGGTTCCAATGAAGACATATAGGCAGGGTGTTTATAAAGTCTTTGTATAGTCTCCCTCATACAGATGAGCATAAATCGACCCCCAGGCACCTCCCTCCATAACTATATATGTTAACATCACCGCTCCAAGCCTCATAAACAAGTTACCTTTCTCATTTGTTAACAGGGTAATTTACATCTCTGGTTCCAATAATAAATAATTCGATATATCACTGAGCAGGATCTGCTGGTTGTGGTTTCCAGTGCGGTTCTGAAGATTTTTCTGTACAAGCCTGAACCCACCGGGTCTACAATAGCGGTTCATGCTTATACCTGCATCCTTTCGTGTTTTATCGTCAAGCTGACGCGGTGATATAACTGAAATAGTGTCAAAGGCGGCGTAAAACAACTCACTCACTTCACATCATCACAGGGGCGGTCGGGTAGCCTAGTGGTTAAAGCGTTCGCTCGTCACGCCGAAGACCCGGGTTCGATTCCCGACATGGGTACTATGTTCGAAGCCCATTTCTGGTGTCCTCCGCCGTGATATTGCTGGAATATTGCTAAAAGCGGCGTAAAACCATACTCACTCACTCACGTCACCACACCAGTGCACAACGCGTCTTTTCATCTCCCAGTAATTTCAAACATGCACATTTACCGTAACCATGAGTTAGATCAGTCTCCGGCAACATAGCCAGACATATATACTGATGAAATCTGATTAGTCCCCATGTTATCTGTGCTTTGCGATGCAAGAATACATCCTGAACCTCTCGGTATTGTTCGAATGTCTGCTGTTACGTCAGAGACATCCAGACAACTTTGTTGGTCCTGATGTTGAGTTAGTGTTCATGTCCATCTATTGATGTTCATTGGCTTGTGGCATCCGACAGGATAACATCATGCAGAAAGCTTGTAATCAACATCGTCTTGTATTGATGTTAAGGTCTACTTCGTTGCATGAATGTCTATTAATTGTTATTGCTCTTGGTGGGTTGTCTCATCAGATCACTTTCAGTGGTGTCTGTCTGTTTGAAATGTAAACATTTCGTGTAGACAGATAGTTAATTGCTATGCTATCATTAAGGTTCGGTCATCATTTCATGGTCATACCGTTGTTGCTAGGTAACTGATAAACAACATGGTTCTTTTTGTATTGATTGTACATTATCACACTTAGTTCCCAGACACATGTTTTGGATAAAAAGTGTAAAACTGCCAGTAAAACACAATTACGTTGTGTGTTTACGTGTATGTAGTGCAATACAGTGGTACCTTGTAAACACGGACCCTGTTTAACGGGTATCAGCCTTGATTTCTTTTTGGTGTGGTTAGTTAGGTGAAATGGGGTTTAAGAATATTGCACTTATATAGGGACGTGTGTGTGTGTGTGTGTGTGTGTGTGTGTGTGTGTGCTTGTACTAGCCGGACTAATGCCAGTTTAACATGAACACCCCACTCAAACACAGTAAATTGACTCCAAACCGAACAGGCCTTGTTTTACTCCCTCAATGCCGAGTGCCAGACAGGGTACCAGTACCACATTTCAACGTCTTGTGGTATGACACGGCTTGGGTTCGAACCACCGACCTTCCGCTCTCCCGGCAGACGCTCTATCCACTAGACCATTTGGAACAACTCCATACATACATTGGTACATGATTCGTTATCCGGTAGTTTTTTAATCTGGAAGCTTTCGACCTGAACGGTAGGTGCCGTTCGGATTAAAAAAGGTTTGATTGTATATGTTCATATTTTTTACTGTTATATTGACACATTAAATGTTTTTCATCACGTTAGCTGGTAGATTTTATGATACTTTCTATTAATATTTATATGCTGTGAAACACGGTATTTTCAGCCATTTTCAACCTGGCTTAAAAAAACACATTGACCATAGTACCCTAAAATGAGGATCGGGTGATTACAATGTGGGACCTGGCTAATTGTGTCTCATGTATTCCGACAACGCCAGGCGTTGCTTATGCTATCAACCACTACGAACATTGGTGTGCCTGTCCCCACTTGGTAATTTTACAGATCACCGTACTACATGTGGAACAGCCGCCTCCGTGGTCTTGTGGTAGAGCGTCCGCCCGGAGAGCGGAAGGTCCGGGGTTCGATCACCGGCCGCGTCATACCAAAAGACGTCAAAAGATGGTACTTGTTGTTACCCTGTCTGGCTCTCGGCATTAAGGGGCTAAAACAAGGACTGGTCGGCTCGGAGTCAGTATACTGTGTCTGAGTGGGGTATTCATGTTAAACTGCGGCATGGTATCTCAGTGAGCTAGCACTATAAATCGGCATCAGTCCGGACTCGTACAAACACACACACACACACACACACACACACACACACACACACACGTCGCTATATAAGTGCAATAATCTTGGATGCGACGTTAAACCCAATTTCACCTCACCTCACCACATGTGGAGTGAGTGAGTGAGTGAGTATGGTTTTACGCCGCTTTTAGCAATATTCCAGCAATATCACGGCGGGGGACACCAGAAATGGGCTTCACACATTGTGCCCATGTCGGGAATCGAACCCGGGTCTTCGGCGTGACGAGCGAACGCTTTAACCACTAGGCTACCCGACCGCCCCCGCCACATGTGGAACAACGACTGGGTGCAAACAACACTAAATTCCTCAATCCCCTAGAGGAATGGGGTGTGTTGTGGTGTTGTGTGTTGTGATGTGGTGTGGTGTGGTGTGGTGTGGTGTTAGTGAGTTCGTAACCTGTAAAAACATATCGTACAGTGAAAAGAATCACAAAAACAAAGTTAGTATCAACATGAAAAAAAATAAAACTATTCACCTGCACTTGGTATTCGGTGAACGGTTTGAGCCCCGTCAGCACAAACTCAACAAACTGAGTGGCTGCATAGTGCTCAATCCCGTTAGCGTTCGCCGACCCAGCCTCCCAGTACATGATCCTGTATGACGTCACGTTGCCGTTAGCCGGTTTCGGCCTGTTCCACGACAATGTTATACTTCGAATGTCGCGCTTGCGCACTGACAGGTGGGTTGGTGGACCAGGTACTGCAAAAAAAGATAATTTAAAGAGTGAGTGAGTGAGTTTGGTTTAACGACGCTTTGAACAGCATTACAATTATGTCGGAGCGTGTCAGTTTGATGTGGGAGGAATGCCCGTAAATTAATGAAGACTATCGCTAAACATGGGGATGAACTGAGATTTTTTTTAAATTTGTTATTAACAAAGCCGTGTTAGACGTGATAATTAATGAGTTAGTTAGTGGCCTTTTACGCCGCTTTAAACAGTTTTTTGATATCCCACTTATATCACGGGGTCAGCTTAATGTGGCAGGAAAGCCCAAGGGAATGCAGGTCTCCGACGAATACCACTTTCGTGAAACCCACTAGCATGGGTATGGCGCTGACAAACCCAAGACACACAAATCACGGTGAATCTGGTTGGTTGGTTGGTTGGTTTGTTGTTTAACGCCGCACTCAGGAATATTCCAGCTATATGAAAGCGGTCTATAAATAATCGAGTCTGGACCTGACAATGATTGACATCCTGAGCATCGATCCACGCAATTGGTATCGATGACATGCATCAACCACCCGAACCCGTTAGTCGCCTCTCACGACAAGCAAAGTCGCCTTTAACGGCAAGCATGGGTTGCTGAAGACCTATTCTACCCCGAACATCTTCACGGGTCTGGTGATTCGAACATATGAAAATAGGTTCCTGGTACGACTTCGGGACGGAACTCTAGAATTACAGCGCCTTAGACGAGAGGGTCACCCGTGCTCCCAAAACATATTAACATATCCACAACTTCAATAATTCAGACGGTTTTTCAAGAACCAACAGAGTCGTTCGGATTATTAAAGTTAAACCGGTAATGTCCACACGGTAAAGAGATTGAATACATCGTATCGATGCGGCGAGTCCAGAAAGAAACACCCTTGCGTATTCATACGTATGAGGACGTATTCAGCAGGCGTACATTAACCTTAACAATTTTAAAGCATTATTTTATGCTGATGACAGCTCTGCAAGGGTGAAGTGAGGTGAGGTGAAGTGAGGTGAGGTGAGGTGCGGTGAACTGGGGTTTAACGTCGCGTTCAAGATTATTGCACTTATGAAGCGACGTGCATGCACGTGTGTGTGCGGGGCTGCTTGTTCTAGTCCGAACTAATTTTATAGTGCTAGCCCACTGAGATACCATACCCAGTTTCACATGAATACCCCCCTCAGGCAGAGTACACTGACTTCGAGCCGACCAGTATTTGCTTTAGCCCCTTATGCCGAGCGCCAGACAGGGTAGCGCTCAGCACTGGGTTGACTAGGCTAGGCAGTAAACAATTTACGTATTATTTATTGATCCAAAAGAATCATAACATGGTGGCGATGACACAGTTCCACTGGTTGCGTTCATTGTTCGTTAATTTGATGGTACTAGATATACGAGAGCTGGAATAAAACAGCGGCACGGTGAAAAAAAAGCCTTGCCAGTAGTTCACAATACGTCTCCGCGGAATAATAAATATAAATAATTTGTTTGTATTTATCAAATCGATGTCGATGGGTTTTGTGATACAGTCTTGTGACAATTAGTATAAGGTAATGGCCTTTGTAGATCAGAGAGACTGAAAAAAATACAGTTCCTGGGGACTTTTTCAAAGCTGTGGTTCTGTCACACGCTTCAACGCACAAATCATAAAAGCTTAAATTACAGCAGGGTTCGGTGCGTATGGATCATAAACGATTCTGATGAATCTTTTCATAATTCGCGCACCAAACAAAGCAAAGTTCAAACTTTTGACAAAAAACAGCTTTTGTTCTGAGTTTGACTATCGATGCGTACGAAATACTATCATGCACTCGCACGTGCTTAATCTACCTGCCATGAGACGAAATTGACAAGGCTTTCAGTGCATACGCGCAGCACATTTCCATAATGAATAGCTGAAAGTATTGACATTGACAAGGCAGAATTATACTGCACATCAGGTGTGATCCTTTGAAGACACACAACGTGCCCTGACTGGAACCACGTGATCGATGACTCGACAGGGCACATATTTAAGATAAATATTTGTTTCATTTATTAACTTTAATTAATTTCGTTTTTTAAGAAGAAACAGGGTTCGTGATAGAACCATCTGATATTGACTTTCATACGATTGTTTCAGTCAACCATAAACCAGTTTGGAAACAGTACGAGGTCATGACAATATGATTTTTTTTAAAGTTCAATGATTTTTTTCTCTTATTAGGTGACCTCGGTGCAAGAGAAATCGATAAGTTAAGTAAGAAACCCAATTTCATTATATCATTGATTGTGAATTGTAGAATATTAGCATATTTATACAATCTGATTGAAGATATGTTCGTTAAAATATTTCATTTTACAACACTTACAAGTAAATTGGTTAATTATATATTTTATTGAAAAAATGCCATTTACGTCGGCATTCAATATCTGTTATGAAAGACAAAGTAGTTTCATTGTACAAAATCGATAAACAGAGCAAAATACAAGGTGTGACTGATATTCATCATCAGTTTATCATTTTGTGTGTCCCTAATTTGACGTAATGCCGACACGCCCTTAATATTAATGGTTTATCGCGAAGCCTTGTGATCAATTATATAATAATAATACTCAATTGGCATTGTTAGCTACCGATCAACTTCTTAGAAACAATTTTCGACATCGCAGTTGTCCATTTAATAAGTGATTGAGAAATAATTAAAATTTGTTACCGTACACACTGAAAAAATAAAAAAAAGAATAGTTTGGAAGACGTTGTTGGAGGAACACGTGGACTATTTTGTAAATCAAGGCAACTATTTATCATAGAGTTGAAACATCTCATTTAACTGAGTTCATGATTTGATGTGTTCATGAAGAAATTATGAGTCTTCATCATCATCATCATCATCATCATCATCATCATCATCACTGCTTTTGCTGTCGCCGTATATGACTCATAAATAAAACACTTAGCACTCAGTAGGGGCAATGTCAACACGAATTCACAGCATTTAATCCTATCTAAACAATCCATTTAACACAATCACTATTTGAATATTTCATGCGTGTGGCCCACATGTCAAGAACCACAGCTTGCCGGCGCACTTACATGTCTCGGGCGTTTTCAGGCATTGTCGTTCCGAATCCGGACTCACGAACCCTTTGTTGGTAACATAACGGACTTGAATACAGTACTGAGTGAATGGGCTAAGGTCCCGGATGACCATCATTCTCCCTTCACCGCCCGGGGTTGTCCACGTCTTGGTCGTCCCGTCCCCCTCAGGGCTGGTAACACGTACTTTGTATTCCTTCGCAAAATCACAATTGAGGTCCTCTGGGAGTGGGTCCTGTGTCACATAAAAAGATATAATAAATAAAGTGTTGTTTTAATAATTAGGACAATTGCCTTTCTCTGTTCGATACGGTCGTGTAGTTACTGCATAATTATTTGAACACATTTCCTTATTAGGCATGCGGGAGGTGAAAGGTAACAGATTGACTGCTATTGTTCGTAGGGTTTTATCTTCACGCAAAATAAACCCACGGGGACTGTTCATTTCAACGCCATGTTGTTAGATGCCTGGCTGTAAGACCCAAGTGAATACATTTGTTTTTTTTAATATTCACAAATTAATTTTTCATTTGTGGCATGCCATTTCCGTGAAGCACGTTAGTGAAAATGAAAGAAAAAAATATTAAGACCTGGCTATTCATTCACAAAAAGTCAACAACACCAACAAAACATGTTCCGAAAAATCAAAGGGTACAAAGGAAGCATTAGCGCAAACATTTTACATTTGTGATAGCGGCTGTTAACTTTGTTGACTTTACAATTATCTCCCTTTGTTAGTTGAAACGGTGAGTAATTTATTGAGTTGTAACTGAACTTCTCCCCTTAATGAATTTATTATTGATACTACCAAGCTCACAGTCAGTCAAAAAACGAAATTAAATCATTGCCACTCTGAGAGAATGGAAATGACATGGAACCCATCTGGTACAGTGCGAAGACTCTGAATGCCACCTGCAGATCAATTGTGCATGCTGGGTGACAACGTTTATCAAATCTAAACACGGTAATTAGTTAATGGGATGAAATCGTTATTGTCATCAATAACAGACCGCGGTTATAGCCACGGGGCAACGTATACATCACTTTAATCATAATTTTTTATATTTTTTTAAAATTATTGCAACTGAATCACTGCTTGACGTTAAACCGGGAAATACGTCGGTTGTTTGGAGAAAAAATGCCACTCAGGCAATGTATTGTAGAAACCTAGAACAAGTTCACAAATTGTGATGCGATATGTGATGGAGTGAGTGATCGAATGAGTTTAGTTTTGTTTTGGCTGCTTCTGGCAATATTCCAGTCATATCACTACGAGGGCACACCAGAAATAGGCTTCAGATAATGTACCTACATAGGGATACGAACCCATGCCTTCAGGTGACGAGCCAGCACTTTAACCATTACACTATCCCACCGCCTCTCGATGTAAGTAGTATGTGAGTGAGGTCATTAACATAGTTATGTGTCAACGATCGTACATACGAGTAGGGCGAAAGGAGTGAGGTGCTTGTGCTTAGAACTTGTCTAGGACTGGACACATTTCTGTGGGATATGTATGACTGGACACATAGGTTTTATCGATGAAAGTATCAAAAATATATGAGGATCCTCATTAAAACATTCTTTTCCTTACCCTTCCAAATTCGCCTCCCCTCCAGCTCTCCTAATATTAATTATGTCCACAAAAATCGTTTTTTTTCAGAACCCACCCAAGACTGTTTCTTATTGACGACCCATCCCTCAAGCCAGGTCCTAATTGACAAGATATGAAATCCCCACGTCATCTTCGTCACGTCATATCAATACCTCATTATTGAGGTGATGTACGTTCATATAGATTTCTGTATACTTACAATCCATTTGACGGTGATGACGGTTCTAGGGACTGTGTCGTTCACCTGTATCAGTGTCTTCACCTCCTGTAACGTGGGGCCAAGGCGGGGCTCTGAAACGCGGAGAGTACATTTAATCATCATGACTGATTTGTCAGAGTAAATCTTTCAGAGGCATTTTTAACACTATCTTGCTACGACTCTCTTCATGGACATTGAAAATTACCTAGACGTATTAATAAGAAGGGAAGAAGGAACATACAGCCTTTGATATCATAGCCAGTATCTAGTTGTTACGACTGCGTCAGTAGTGACCGAGTTGGGTTTAACGCGTCTTTGAAAAAAATATTCTAGTAATATCACAGCGTGGGAAGATGGGCGGTAAGAAGGTCTTCGGCGTTTACCACTTAGATGAAACCCACGAACAAGGATATGGTGCTGGTGAAACTAGAAACATAGCCAGCACAAAGCCGGATTCGAACAAAACGATGACAGGTCATTGATATGAATGACTAAAGGATATGGAATATGTCATAATTATGTTTAGGTTAAGAGATAGGCGAAGATGGAGAACAAAGATGCAGCTATTTCACTCTTACCCAGTTTGAACAATGTTAAAGGCTTTGAAAATATAAGCTAAGCCTTAAAATAACAGGTTACTTTTATAATGAACTATTACAGGCTTGGTATACTTCAACATGTTTTGTTCTGTGGACTGTTTTACCTCCCACGGTCGCCATCATTTCATAGTACATGTACTTTCAATTCCTTCCTTTCACCTGACAGTTATCTTTATGTCGAACTCGGGTTGTTTCGAAGTACTTTGTGTTAACCAGAGCATCATGTTTTCGTTATATTGCTTTCCAGGTCTATCCAATTCATGCATAATGCTGACAACTTCGGTTATTCGAGATAATGCCTGACTCTATGACTCTATCGTCCGTACATAATCGAGTCTGAACCAGACAATCTAGTGAAATTCATCCTGAGCATCGATCTACACAATGGGGATACGATGACATGCATCAACCATGTCAGCAAGCCCGACCACCCGATCAATCTCTTGGGATAAGCATGGGTTGCTGAAGACCAATTCTAACTCGAATCTTCACCTGTTCTATACGACTCAGTGACGCACCCACCTGCACATTTAGTGTTGACGTGTATTATAGGCCCGGGGGGTCCTTCCCCTCCCTCCTCTTTGTTCCTGGTAACCACGTAGATGGCGTACTTGGTATTGGGGGTCAGCTCCGTGATTGTGAAGGAACACATGTCCTCACAAAAAGTATGGTAGACCAGTCCGGTCATGGTGTACATCTTCTCTCCCTTGGCCTTGACATTGATGCTGTACCACAAGATGGGTCCGTCCCCCGTGTCCCCTGTCTTGTCGTTCCACTTATGCCACTGGATGGTGATGTTGGTGGCCTTCACGGACCCCTCCCTGACCTGCGGAGCCCGACTCAGACGCGGGGGTTCTGTCAAACCAAGAATTTATGAGTGATTACGTTTGCAACAGTTTTTGATTACGTTTGCAACAGTTTTTGATTACGTTTATAACAGATTTTAGCTTCTTCGAGTATCAGTTTTAAGGCGCGTGGGACCCAAACCCAAGGTGACGCTAGTTGGATGTATTTTTACCACCATGGTGAAACCAATCGGTATGGTGTTGACAGACCATACTTCATTATCCGGGATCCAAACCCACGATCAGCGGATCCTGGTCGGACGAAGGAAAGTAACTGCGCAGCAAATTGCGGCGTCTAAGGCTACTATGTTATCCTAGTCCTGCACCATGACTGTGGAATATATTTATTTTATGAAAACAAACCTAGAAACGTATACAAAGGCAAGTCTAGACAGCTCTAGCTAGCTCTATTCCATAGCAAAGGGATTTTTTTTGTTTCTTTTGAGAGTCAAAAGGGTATTGTGTTATATGAGATTTCATAGACTAAATATTAGTCTAAGGTTATCCGTGAGTCTTCATTTCATTTCAAAATTTGGATATGACATGAATACTTCACCGAATTATGAGCATATTCGTAAAAATGGTAAATAGGTCTAAGGATGTAATCAACAACATTTACAGGCACAGAGCTTTTGAGAATATCTGTGGTTGAGCGTGTGATCATTTCTGAACCTCTGAATTACAATGAGAATTTCATTTTTTATGACAAAAAAGGTCTGTAAATGGTTATTTATATTTTCAACAAAACCATAAAACATTTCTGAATATTTTACTCCCGGTAAGGAGACTGTTATAACTGCGCCCTTTTCTCCACACTTGATCGGAAGCTCCACAGAAGGCGCCGACACTAAACAGCTAATTAATCTATGAGGACATATTGACTGAAAGGTCGAGTTGTGTGTCTGGACCCCATCGCGGCTCAGACAGTGTGCTGAGGAGGTTTTCTTTCCCACAAACCGGTGATTTAAATACAAAAGAGACCCTCAGTCAGCACGAGCTACATGGAATACCCATTACAAGCTTAACCCATGAGGACTTATATGTCGCCTGAGAATCTTACAACCTGACAAGAGTTCGTTCCGAACTGTAACACCGGTCTGCTTTTTGTAGCCCCCGACATGTTTGTTGTTTACAGAAGCCGGGTAAAACCACGATATTTTTACAACCTGACAAGGGCTCGTTTCGTTTTATTCCATCAGTCTTCTTTTTCACGTAACCCGGAAAGTGTTGTTGATGAAAACCGGACAAAACCATAACAATTAACCTGATGCGAACATCGCAAACAAGGGCATCTTCTTTGACTCCGAGACGCAAAGGTCAGTCTCGTTTGTAATGATCTTTTATAAATTAACAGCTTCCAAAGGGAAATCGACAACTAATGAAAGAAATCAATTGACACAAAATTACACACGACCTTCATTTTGGCAGGATCAATGAGGATGTGCAGGACATGAGAACAGGGCGATCGTGAGATCAATCAAGCAACTGCAGCCAATGTGTGTACATCAATTAGGACCTCTAAGAGGATTTATTACATTCTGTTTGGCAAATGTCTTCTTTCCTTTCAACTAGGCACAATTTGACGTAATGAATATTCAGAAATATATAACCTTTCCTCGCATTATCAAGCTCTCAATACCTCGTGTTTATATTTTCCTAGATATCGAATAATGAAGACGTGATATTTACACAAATCTTTCAATTAGATATTAATCGATAAATCCCGGAGCGCTCTGTAAATATTTTTTCCCGAACCCTGCTGTAGGATTGTGCTTAATCTTGACAAGAAAAATATCTGTTGCCAATTATTCCATAAAACTAACATGATCCTGATAAATTTAGAACCTAAAATCCCAACTGATGTCCTTACATAAACTTCACGCGGTCGTTAACCTTTGTCTTACAACAACAGCTCATGGAATATTCCTAATACCCGGCTCTGTATTTCAGATGCCTATGCTGTCAGTAAATATTACCCGCCGGGCAAATGGTGTCATTATTAAACTCAACCATATCAACCATTTCCGATATTTATTCAGACACCGCTGAAAGTTTAATTTTTGAAGTTCAGCATTAAAGAACCTGATGTGAAAGTATATTTAACTTCCTTATCACACTGAAGACATTTTCATAGTGAAAACAAAGTCCTCGATATTAATGAAATTTTAAAAATGTTATTTGTTAGATAATTCCATCGAGAAGACCTTTATCAGAACAAACAGAAAATCAATATCTAGCCGTGCTACTCTAACCAAACCAGCCATTCTGGTGGCATGTGTTTCCCTTTTGCAATTATTTGTTCTGTGTCACAGAGCAATCAATAAGATTAGGGTATATCTGGTTTACTGGATGATTTTGGACAAATGTTTCTCAGAGAAATCTACAGCCACACGCTTTGATCTGACGGGAGTTCCCTCAACCTCGCCTGTCCCACGCAAAACAAGTATCAAGGAAAACCCGGCTTTACGGCAACACGTCGGGGACTTTGTACCAGAAATATTTCACCAATCTCTTAATAAATGACCATCATGTAGGATTATTTGAGAGGAGGGCCAAAATGGTCATTCGCATGCGAAGCCTTGTTGCCATGGGAACAGGTATCTACGAGATTACTTCAAAGAACGATTTGTAGTTTTCTATTATCACATGTGTCATTCAGATCAGTGGGATTTACGAGAAGCCTCGCAACATGACGAGTAATAAATCGGTCTCCGAAGTGATATTTTTCTCAAATAAATCCGTAAGAATAAGACCGGGAGACAACCCGCTACATCTGTGATTGAAGTTCCACGTATCGTGTGATAAAGGTCATCCGTTCAAGCAAAGTTCCATTTCATCGAACGGGTTTTTTGGTGCCTGTGACCCCAATTCGCTTACACTTGGAAGTCATTACCTCCCAATTCCGCAGGTCAGTTTCAATCGTTAAATTAATCATTAATTCCAATTCATTCATCCAAACCAAACCTAAAGGGGCTTACCGTAGACTTCGGCCACGATGGTCATCGAAGTGGACCCTGCCGTTGCTTGGACAAAACACGTATAGCGTTCCCCTGTCATGATGTAGTTGACCTTGAAGAGGTTGATCCTGGTGTACTGGTACTGATCCAGGGTCTTAGACTCCAAGAGGGTGATTCTCTTACTGGAGGGACCTCTTAGCTGAATTTCACTCTCGAACGGGGTAGGGAAGGCAGCCACGGTACAATTAAAGACCGAGGGTTGCCCTGGATTCACGACCGTGTTCTCGAAGGCGACAATACGGGGAGCGGTTACTGGAAGTTAAAGTGGGTTTCGGATGTCAAAACACGTGTAAATATGTTCCAACGAATACAATGTTAGAAGTTGTCCAAATGCACAAAATGGTTCAAATTTGGCTTGAAATTAACGAACTAAAATTACATTTCAAATACGTAAATACGTAGTATTAAACATGTTTTGTTGAGGAAATCTTGATCCAAATCAGGAGAATTATTTCTTCACATAGTTTTATACAAGCCAGATTTGAGTTAGATGTCAGTGTTAGTGTGCGGATACTAGCTATCATGCTTTATTGTTACGCAACATTCCGTGAATTTAAATGAAACATGGTTGAAGATGTCAGCAGCCGCCATATTGCTGAAACAAATGCGTCTACTACGAACAAAACATGGTGCAATTTGGTGCACAACTAGAAACCAAAAGCATGCAGTTCCACCACAATTGTTTCAAAATACTAATTCCTGGTAATGAAAGTCGTATCAAGTTACCATCATAACAGATATTTGTCTCTTGAAATGTTCTTAGATTTCTTTAAACGCGGAAATAATGCATTTTATAGATTACTTTTTTTCACGATAAGAAGTTATAAAGACAGTGCAAAAAAAAACACACCAAAAAAATCCAAATATATCTTTTGCGAAACTTTTGTGAATATATATATGAAATGTTGAATTTTGTTTTAGTAAAATCAAATGACATTCCAAAGGTCTAACAGAACAAAAAACGAAAAACCACAGCTAAAAGCCGGCGACGTTTAGCGACAACAACGAAATGTTAGAATGACATGTTCGGAAGTTACCTGGTTCGCAAAGCGGAGGGTTAAAATATCCCTTCTTGCATTTGCAACTGGACTTAGGTCCAGTGAAGCGATCACAGTCCTTTTTATTTTTACACTGGCATTCCTTGGCGCAGGCCCACCCATACCTGTTGGCGGGGCAAGGAGTGGCTGAAATGTCAAACTCAGTCAATCAACACACCACGTCAAACTAGTCATGCGTTACATGCTGTGCCAAGGGGAGATAACTCTAAAGTGTCATACCCGTTTCCGGCATGGACCAAGTTCGCCTCCCTATAACCGTTACTGTCATCCATTACTGGTGTATAAAACTAGGCATGCCCACATGAATGTCAAGTTTTAAGAAATAGGAACTATATAATACAGATGTTTGTTAAAGACAACCAGTACACATCAACCAGTACACATCGTCACAGTATTCAGCAATATTTCAGCTTCATTTCCATTTCATCACCCTGCATGATATGGCGGTTGAGCCATAGCTACGGGAACGATGTACCTCGGTATCAGTGTGACGATGAATTCCAAGGTGGTCCCCCCTCCAAGATGTATCAACATCTAACACTCGTTGTAACCATCGAATCCACATTTTTTACTTAATGGAACAACAGTAAGATCTGTCCGTACTGTTGTATTTTCGTTATTTCTACACGGAAATCAATACATATTTTCGATAAAATAATTAACCAGTACTGTAGAAATGCATGCTGGTGATAATGTACAACTTTAGAGTGAGTGGGTATGGTTTGACACCGCTTTTAGCAATATTCCAGCAATATCACGGCTGGGGACACCAGAAAAAGGGCTTCACACATTGTACCCATGCCGGGAATCGAACCCGGGTCTTCGGCGTGACATGTACAACTTGGTTATTACAGGGACATTCTAACATCTGAATTTTCTAGCCCTCGGTCTTTTTCTGGCGAATCAGATTTGAAAATAGTTATGAAGTACAACCATAAATACTAATCAGTGAACGAAGACCATTCTAGGTGAAGCGAATTGCTATTAGATTATACTCATGTATATTCAAGTGGTTCAGATAGCAGGATTGTCAGCATGTGCACTAAAGGGAGGGTATGCATCCACTAAGTGGTCTATATTCAGCAATCAAAACCTTTATCCGTCAATGGTATTTCTCTTTCACTTATTGGAAACTCACTCAAGTGTGTTCCTCATTAATGCAGTTTGTGTATGTGCATGTCCAATTCAAGTATCGCAGTCTAAGAAATCAATCAGCGAGTCCTTACACCTACAGGTAGTGATCGATCGTCGATAATCTCATTAATCACCTGTGCAAATCACGCGAGCGAGGTCAATAGACCGAAAGGAGCTAAGTCATATTTGGTGATTGATATTTTTGTGTGCCACTATAATCAAGTATATATAGTCACTGAACCGTGGGTTCTTAATTAAAGATTATTTAGTAAGTGGTTCATGACAATTGATGTTATCTTCTATAAAAGTGTCGTACTTGACTGTACGGACTGACGGCGCCCACTGGTAGAGCAGTTCCATGTACACGTCGCGCGGTGACAACGGCTGAGTCAAGCATTTGTTTATACAATGAATTTTATAGGGCCCTCCCACTACGACATCATGTCACATGGATACCACATCCACATTATACTGACTGAGGCGACCAGTCCTTGATTTATCACCTTAATGCTGAACCCCAGGCAGGGAAATATCAAGTACCATCTTTTAACGTTTTTTTTGTTTTACCCTTCAAAGGGATCGAACCCCTGACCTTCACTTCTCCGAAGGAAGTTGAATACTATGCATATACCTCACTCGCTAACGTTTAGGCACACATAATTAAAGATGGATTTTAGTGATGTTTCAGGAGAGGTACGTTTATTATTGTAGTTAGCTCACTGGGTCATACTTTTCACGGTATTATAGTTATATCACGGCGTGCCAGCATACATAAAAGCGCAAAATGACGTGGGTCGTTGTTAGTTACCGCACAGGTATAATGCTGACAGACGAAGATCACAATCAGGGCCAATCTGGAATTTGAACCGACGATCAGCGGATCCTAGCACGACTTAGGGACGCAATTCCACACATCGATTTCCTGCTTCTTAGATGACCTGGCCATTCGTGTTTCCAATTGATAAACTTAACCTTCGTGAAAGTATGTCATATTACAGCGACAGACAAGAACTGAAAATATGCCTTCGCAAATCACATATTTTCCCGATTATGCTCACTGGCGTTTCGTGAAGATCTGGGGTAGAAGATGTCTTCAGCCACCCATGCTTGCCGTAAAAAGGCGATTATAATTGTCGTAAGAGGCGACTAACGGGGCGTTAAACAAAAAATAAACAAAAATCAACGGCGTTTCAATCACAACACGCGTGCATGTGTGTGTCACCTGAATCTCTTTTGGCAAACGATCAGCGTCACTGTGGACAGTCCAACAAGACTGGTTGTAACTTAGACACATGTCCTGTTGGCGGCGTTAAACCGTACTCGCGCATTACTCCCGGGTACCCATGGACGCTGGGGAAGTATAGATGTCTGTTTAGGGTGCGGAAGGGCAGACCAAAGCCTCCATAACACTCAGTATGGACCCATCTTGAGAACACTGAACTATTTTTAAAGCATTATGTAAGAATGATGTCGGACGCAACGTTTATTATCCAACGCATCGCGTGTTATCGGACGGGTGTGCGCGGTATAGATAAACGCAACCTTTCAAAAAGTATATTCGCAGCATAAGGTTATCGATGTCGGAGTAATTCTATTAGAATAGCGATATGATTCATCACATGCGCCTTAAAGTGTAATATCTGCTGCAGACATCTTTGACAGAAGGGATGAGGAAACGATCACTTCCAAAACTTTCCAGCAAAACATCCCCATAACGAGATATAGCATATAATTGATGCATTTATGACGTTAGAATCCAGAATATTTCATATGCTATGATTAACGAGATAAACAGTGTTATATAGATATGGAAGCTGATATTCCCTAGTGTATATACCCAATTATGGAGTACGGAACGATATCGGGCCTGTCAGTGGATAATTCATCATACGCTAGTGTGTCCAGTGTTAGATGTCGATATGGGTGATAACAATAGCCAAGAATTCTTTTGTTGTTTGACTGTAGCAAGAAGAAGGCAGAAAATAAATAAATGATAAATGAAATAAAGAAATTTTGAATGAGCAAGAGATAAACCATAGAATTGAGAGAGAGAGAGAGAGAGAGAGAGAGAGACAAACACAAGAGAAAAGGAGCGACACAGACAGTGAGAAGAGAGACGAGAGAGAGAGAGAGAGAGAGAGTTCGCGAGTGAGAGACGAGGGACAAAACAGAGAAAAGAAGAAAATCAAATCAAAAAGAAATCATAAACGCATAAAACACAAACCGAGATAAATATCCAAATATTTGTCATAATGCATAACCATGTGCAAAATTCCAGTGTTGCATACAAACAGAGGGCATAGAACTATCAGCCAGCAATAGTGCCACATGACCATCGAGGATAGTGACTAAATATCCCTGTATCGACTACAGAACCCCAAGGGTCAACACAAATAACATCACTGATAGGCGATTGTACCATAACGGCCGCTTTAATATCATGGAACAACTGTGATAGTTCTATATACTCATTATTGGCTCGTAGAACAAGCTCTCCTCGAGAAGGGTCTACGCTATTGACCAACCCTCAAAGATAGATTAAAGCATAAATGTTTATAGAAGGCAATCACGATCTCTTAAACCGCCTTGGTTCGACTATTGTCACACAAGCAGTAATTTCCTACAGGTGGCATTAGTGTCCATCGCTTAATAGCGTGTACATCTGACCAGAGAGAAGGCTCGTGATGGTAGAGAACATTGCTTAATCAGAAATGTGCTTTCTTTACCATCTCCGAGACTGCGACTCGCGGAAACATCCTGTAAGGAAGGTCCCTTGAAGGATGCATTACTGGTGTCACTCTTGCGTAGACTAAACTGATTGACTAGTCTTTATCAACGTTCACAAGGTCTCGACAGCTCAATTATTGCCGAACGGGTCTAGAAGGATTCAATTTCTGTAAATTCCAATCCTGAAAAAGGTTGCTTTTGTGAAAGGACAATTTTACTTTTGGTATCAGGGCTGAGTAAATAGAATTATTCTTGTTCAGTAAATCTAAACAGTGGCACAATACAGTGGAAGCTGCTGGAAGCTTGGCGGTGTGGAATTGGTGTTCGCGAGAGGTCTGTTCTGGTCTGGTTGGGCACTACGTACTGAAGATCGATTATGTTGTATGACTGATTTTATTTCATAAAATACCTTGATAGCCTTGACTAAATCATCACCCCGATTATACTTGCATTAAAAACAATAATTTTGATAATTACAGGTCAACTATACGTTCGAAAATCGAAGAAAATTAGATTTGTAGCGAAGGAAAAATTTTACAGGAGCCTGGCATTTGCAGAAATTAACACAGTATTTCCCGAAACGAGATTTATGTATGGCAGGATTCTGTCCAGCGCTAGTTATATTCAATCAAAGACGATCATTTTCAATCACAATGAACAGCCTTGAGAATTATCCTAATTATGACTCAATAGAAGTGGAGAGAACGCAGGAATAATCACATTACAAAGAGTGATTTGTATCTTTACGAGCTTACGTCGGGGGTGAGTTAGAATGAAGTAGCCGATTCTCACACGTTCTGATCGGTAATATTATGCTACAGCAAGAGGTGGCTCCAATCTGAAGGACTATCTCATAATTTAGTCTTATCTGTGGCACCGTGTCAGGATGCCTTATAATCAACCAGTGTTTTATTGCACGGCCTAATATAACGGGCGTCTCTCCCTGCCTGCATCGGTCCAGTTATCAACAATTCTTGTTGCCCTCTGAAAATATTTAAATTTAATTTTGTACATGATGTTCAAATCAAGACGAGTGGTACAAGTGGTAGAGCTATTTGTTCTTTGATTTAAATCTCTCCTATCATTTCTGTGAAACACGCTACAAATTGCGATTTTTTGCTTGAAATTTTCTCGAGTCTTCTGTAATCTTCTATGATTTAGAGTCAAGCTGTTGTCCTTTTTCATCATGGACCCACGAATATCCCGTAAAGAAGACACTTTTTGGACTAATTTTTCTGACATTTAAGTCAAACTAAATCAATCGATTTTCAATGTCTCTCTGGTGGTTTAAATTAACTGTTCCAAGGCTCTGGTGTTTTTCGTAATCCTGTTAAGGTTTTGGTAAATACTTTACAGATGTTGAGGATGGACGCACACATTGAATCAAAACTTGTTGTATTAGAATGAGATGTGTGCATGAAAAATTAAACTGGCATAAGTGGTCTTAAGGTTTGCAGGAAGCGACTTAATTACAATACTCAAGTTTAATTTTGTTTTAGAACACACGCCACGCGATATAAGTACACATACTCATTCTTTAATGTGTTTATAAGGCCTCATATTGCAATATTTTCCTTGAAACTACACACGAACATCTTTCGGAGTCATAAATGTACGTTCGAAACTCTCTGCAATTGAAAGTACTTTTATATATTCTTATATTTATGAAATATAATCATTTAAGACATTGATATGAAATAATTATATAATATTTATTTAAACGTTTATTTAATTTGAGAACCACAGAACTTTTGCTGTAAATCAATCTCTGGTTGTAGGTAGCGTGAATAAGTTTTAGCGCTGACTCTAGTTTCACTGATCCCTATGCAAGAAGACGCAAGCAGTGGGTTTGGTTCACTTACGTGTTTGACAGTCGTAACCAGTCCAACCAGCAGCGCAGCCGCTCTTACACATTCCCAGGATGCTATCACAGTTCTCCGAGTACTCCTTACAGTGGCATTCCTTCCCACAGTTGATGCCAAATCGGGCAGGGGGGCAATCTGAAGGAGAGAAAGCAAATTGATATTACGCTGCAGTGAGTTGGATAATAACCATTGTCGTTGGGCTGTTGAGTCGTTTCGAGGCAGGTTATGGAGAGCCAGTGGTCGATAGTGTGAACACCCATCAGCGTTTTAAATAGGTGTTACACTGAGGTGCTGCTTGGGGTTGTTGTCGAACGCTGATATGATAGTATGGGCGCCAATAAACGACAAACGTTCCACGGTAGGGTGTCACACATGGACGACCAGGGGGTTGAGGATATTGTCTTACACCGCAGTCGTGATGGATTAAGAAAAAGTTGCGGAAAGTGCGAGCAACTATCAACGTTTCGCAGGTGTTGAGGTGAGGTGAAATGTGGCTTAACGTCGCGTCCAAGATTATTGCACTTTTAAAGCAACGTGCATGACGTTGTGTGTGTGTGTGTGTGTGTGTGTGTGTGTGTGTGTGTGTGTGTGTGTGTGTGTGGCTGCTTGTACTAGTCCGGACTGATACCGATTTATAGTGCTAGCCCACTGAGATACCCTGCCACAGTTTAACATGAATACCCCACTCAGACACAGTATACTGGCTCCGAGCCGACCAGTCCTTGTTTTATCCCCTAAATGCCGAACACGAGACAGGGTAACAACAAGTACCACTTTTAAACGTATTTTTGTATGACGCGGCCGGGGATCGACGCTCTACCACTAAAACAAGGAGGCGGCCTCACAGGTGTTGAATCGATAAGCGTTTCACGGTAGGACTCTGTTGGGAGTGGCAAATGTCTTTCATGTCGTAGTCAGCAATAGTCCAACAATGACAACAAATAGTCGAGCCCCGGTAAACCAATGGTTGACAGAATGAGCAACTGTCTACTCCGTCGGGCTACGATGACACACAATCAGTCAGTTCGACCATCACATCACTTGCCTCCAACTACAAGTACCACCTATTGTCAGCTGTCGACAGTGACTTTCATTTTACGGTTATATTTCGTTATTTGACATGCTTGTTTTTTGTTAACGCTGCACTCAGCAAAAGTCCAGTTATACAACGGCGAGTCTGAACCAGACATTCCAGTGATCGATATTGTGAACATCGACCCACACCCTCGGGGTACGATGACATGCGATCTACCAAGACACCAAGCCTGACCACCCGATCAATTGAGTCGCATCTTACGACCAGTAGAGGTTGCAGAGGATACAGCATCACCACGGGTGGTTCCACATCAGTGTCTCGACCAGACAGAGAAGTGTTAATTGCCTCGCCAACGATCCACCGGGCTTCGATGACAGTAACCATTAGTCTCCCTGCAGTAACCAACATGGCCACCTTTTACAAAGCGACCCCACCGCTTAGACCATTGTAAATCTCATACTTAAAACACAACTTACTATCATCGTAACGCTAAAATCGCTTTGTGGACCGGTACCTAGAACCACGCTCTACATAGCGAACTTACAGCTGCGACTGTTAAATGTACGGCTGTGTTAAAGTCTGGTTGGAATCTGATGACATCTGTACGTCATTTTGCGAGGGTAACGAGACACATCACGGCATGAATTGTGTCAGCAGACAGTATTTACTGTTATGTACTAAATATCAACTCAATCCGTTTTCAATATGTTTTGTGTGAGATATTTATGTGAGTGGGATCGGGAAACAGTGTTTTGTTTGTTGATTGGTTTTTTTAAGCCGCACTCAGCAATATTCCAGAAATAATCTGTCTGTAAATAATCGAGACTAGATCAGACAATCCAGTGATTGACATCATGAGCATCGATCCACGCATTTGGGATACGATGATATCCATCAACCAAGTCAGCGAGCCTGGCCTCCCGATCCCGTTAGTCGCCTCTTACGACAATCATAGTCGGCTTTTACGGCAAGCATTGGTTGCTGAAGACCTATTCTACCCCGGGAAACAGTGCCTCATACAGTCAATGCAACGTTTATTAAAGAACCATATGGTATCGATTGGGCTATTGCGAATACCGAATTGTCATTGACGAAGATCTGGATTTCTACGGTCGATAAAAACCGACGAAAAATTCCGATTATCACTTTCCCTCAAGTATATCTCATACAACTGTGCGTCCCTTAGGCGTGTCAGATCCCTGTTCGAATACCTGTTCACCCTGATTATGTTTCTAGGTTTGTCAGTACAACACTCGCGCTCGTGAGTATCCCCAAAGTTGTAAGACCATTCCTGCATCGATTCAGGCTTTGCTCTCCGTCATCAAGCTGATGCGCCATGATATAGCTGAAAAACTGTTCAAAGAGGCGCAAAATAAAACTCAATACAGACCCTGAAAGCAAAATGGTAAAAACTCCAAAGCAAGTCCACAATACTTTGGCAAATCTCGATGTCTTTAGTTTCAGAACTGCATTGTCACACTATTCTTTTACACACATAAAATGCATGATCAATGTCCCGAAACCATTCTTAGACTTCTACAAAAGGCGTTCTTATGACTTGCTGGTTTGATAAAACATGGTATTGAAATACGGGGATCTTTTTCCTGTTGGTATCCAAGCAAAAAAACCGCGAGGACACCAGCAGCATGGGCTTCACGAATTGTACCCACATTTGGAATCGAACCTAGGTATTAAACCACAAGGCTACCAAGCACCTGCATCATCAACACTAGCAAGAAGTCCGAACTCGCTCACCCTGTTACCATACAACAAAGATTGTCTGATGTCACCCTTATGGCTGAGGCTGCTTAGGACTTTTCGCTGGGCGAGCATAGCGTATGAATACCTGCAAGGCAGTGGTGTTTTTAATTAACTTGTTAACATTGCAGAAGGGTGCTGGAACTTACTGCAGTTGTTGATGCTGCAGTACTGCCACCTCGCCCGGGGCTCTGTCGTGTAGCACCAGGGCTGGGAGGAGTCGGCTGTGGTCCGGCAGAAGTTGTTGGGGAACACCCTGTCGGGGAAATCCCGTTGTGTGTAGCTGTGTTTCTGGGGAACTTGTTGGTCCCATCTCTGGCATGTGTACAGTTTGGTGGTCATAGCCTTGGTCCCCATATAGTTTCTCTTCTGGCCATTATAGTAGCAGCTGTTGGCTGAAAAAAGACATGAAGTCATGTAAATCGCATTTTTTAACACTGCCATTTTGGAATCAGTTTTTGATCAAAAATTTTGGTGAAATCGTAATGTAATAGTATTTTTGTATGTGACAATTAGTGGCACTGACCCACAAATGGTATTTTTTAAATTTATTGTTATATTCAAAATTCTACTTTTTCTTGTTTCGTTTTATTTCCTGACTTTTCAATTACAGTAAAGTACGGTTATAACGAACTCAAAGGGACTACTAATTTTAGTTCGTTATAACCGTAGTTCGTTATAAGTATATATACAGCATAACTACAGTAAATAGTCGGGACCAAAAAAGTAAGTTCGTTATAACCGTAGTTTACTGTATTTTTGGAAGTGAGGGGGAATTACAGTGATGTGAGTGGTGGGAGCTCCTGGTGGAGCAGAACATCTATTTACCTTACACATACACTTTTTACACCACTGGAAATAGGTAAACGAAGACAACACGAGCATATTCATATTTTAAATGTAAAACGTGAATATTTCATACAATAACAATATAGATTGACCAGTGGTATCATATTGCACGTCTTACGCCCAGTGCCATCGAAACCTGGTGTCATCACCGAGTTTCCGTGGTCCATTCTTATAAGTTTCATCACTATTTCGCCTTTTACGTCCAATTGAGTCTATATCTGCGGGTAATGCGAGACCAATCATCTTCCGTCGTTGACGTTTTAGAATTATCATACATTACACCAAGTGAACACAGTATTATTTTAAAACTCAATACAAGACATATAATTTAAAAATTACACTATTAGAACGTTTCCTAACTCGATCCAACTGTCACATCGATCCAACCAGTAACACTAGAACCTGTTTCTTCTCCCGTTCCGTTTTAATACAATTCCTACATTCCCTTGTGAGCCCAAAATAAAAACGCCAGTCAGTGTTATCTAATTCTTATCACTCTTTTCACCTTTCCCACTTAAGAAATCCCACCAAGATATTTCAATACATACCGTCAAGTAATGTGTTTTGACAAGTTCACGGCGGGTGATGAGAACCTTCTCCATGGAGTACCACGTATGACTTCACATTATCTGTTCAAGTCTGACGTTTGAATGCTACCTAATCTGGGAAGTCTAAACGAAGTTAAATCCAAAATGAAACTCGCTTTAGACGTATTTGACAGTGAAGAGTACATTTTATGCCACCATTCGAAACTTGGGAATCAATAACTTTGGCGATGTGTTCTTTGTTCCAATTATCTTGTCATCTTGGGGAATAATACACACAACAAAGGCAACAATTCACTTGCATCTTAATAATTACATATTTGCATCTACTATCATAGTTAAAAAAAACCATTTGATGTTTGTTTGTTGTTTTACGTATCACACAGCAATATTCCAGACATGACGGCAATCTGTAAATAATCCGAGTCTGGACAAGACAATCCAGTCATTGACATCATGAGCATCGATCTACGCATTTGGGATACAATGACATGCATCAACCAAGTCAGCGAGCCTGACCACCCGATCCCGTCAGACGCCCCTTACGACGAGCATATTCGCTTCTTTTGGCAGGCATGGGTTGCTGAAGACCTAGTCCGGATCTTCACGGGTCTCATTTAATGTAAATCCAAGAGTTCAAGGTTTCAATTTAGAAACAAATGACAACTGCAGGATCGTCTCAAATATTGAATGTAGCGGGGCAGTTCAAAACATTTGATGTGTTTTCACGGTTTGAAATCCTGTGTCGAACTGTACCATTGGAAATCCAGGATATTCCGTCACAGTTCGACACCTGGTTTCAAGCTACACTACGAAATCAATTACCCAACTGAACAGTTCGAAATCCTGCATCTTGTGACATAGTTCGAAATCCTGTTTCCAACTACACAGTTCGAAATGCTGCCTCTATTCATATGTATTTGCCAAGTTCTTCATCCTGGAAATCCTATATTTAGCTGCATAGATTGAAATCCTGCGACCCAGTACGAAATCAAGTGAAACAATTCGAACTCCTGCAGCTAACGACCCAGTACGAAATCCCGAAGTTAACGACGCAGTTCGAAATCCCGAAGTTAACGACGCAGTTCGATATGTGACCCATTCACACAGTTCACCACTATTTCGCCTTTTACGCCAAATGGAATCTGTTTTGACAGATACTCAAGACTTAATGTTCTCCTGCGATGACGTTATAGATTTACTGTAGCCTATTAGTTTGAAGATGCGTATAACCGGGTATACACACGGACGCTTTAATCATAGACCAAATTTGGTCCAGTGTGGATTTTAATCATATATCTAAAATATTTCGTATCATCTATAACAACCGAAGTTGAGCACCTATTATTGAACCTTAAGTATTACTGAAACTATGTTTCATCATTAACTGTTACAAAAAGATTCTTCCTTTCTGGGCGTTCTAAAAGAAAAAAATATTAATACGAAACATCTGAAAGTTTCAGCTTCATCCATGAAATAGAAAAATTCCCTTTCCCAAAGTTGTTTTACGACCAGGATGTGATGGAGAAACCAGAAGCTTCGAAGCATCATTACCATGATTACCTGTTACAGAAACTTGATCTTTCAAGGTCTTGTTCAAAGAGAAACATTAATTTACTCAACTTTAAATCATTTTTCAATATTTACACGAATTCTTTCTTCACCTTGAAAAAACTTGATCAGGAAGATCTTTAAAAACGGTTCAATCCATCAAACGGTTCTTGAGCAAAAGGTGAAAATGTTGTTCATGTCGACCATGATGCATTGAACACACACGAATCTTCTTATAATCATTACCACTCGTAGAAAGTTGCAACTTTCTGTGGTTTCGGAGAAAAGAAGTTGAAACATTTTTCAAATGTTAACTATTTTCCAATTTTAATTTTCTTTAAATATTGATGTCCCTAAAAGAACGCGAGCCATGTATGGCCAGGAACATGAAAAAATGACATTCCGCTCAATCCATTATGAAACATTTCGACAACTTGGAAAGTTCACAGACGCGTGTCGCCTCGACATAAAACTCCTATTGCAATTCTAGACAGTAAGGTAAAACACACATAGGTCAGATTTATCTTTCTGGAAATATTCGATACAATACATCACATATTCCACAGACAATGGCCGTTAAGATTCTCATTGTTCCTTGTTTTAGAGCAATCTCGCGGAAGACCATAATTACTTGCTTATTGCAATCATAAAACCTACCTATCACAGAAACAAGGATTTATACGATGGCTTTAAGATTCATCCCCAAATATTGACGGGCTCAGACAGGGATTTCGATCCGACACAAGGGATTTGTCTACTCCTGGTGCCGGACAAGACGATTGCTCGAGCCACGCACATGAAACACAAGTTAACAACGTGCTTCAATTCTCTGCACAACATGTAACCTCCCACCGTGTTCTACCTAAGGGAAAGATCCCTTTCCACGTTTCTCTGGACTAAACACCAATGTGTTACAAACAATTTATTTGTCTTGAGTAATGTTGAAAGAAACGTGTCTGGGTTTGGGAGCCTGGTTACCACTAGAATGTTAAATCCGACGATTCTCCCGAGAGCCTCTTGCGTAACTTAGCCAATATCTGCCAAGAACAGTCATTCATCGAGCGCGTTGAGATGAGGACATATGACTTTGGGCTCTGCATGGGAAGTTGATGAGGAGTGTTTTCCCTTGCGAGGGTCTAAGGGCAATTTGGCGTTTCTGGGGTAGTTTTTTGAAAGGCGTTCCCCGTTGAAACTAATTTCCCAGGATTTGAAAGTTTGACATTGGCTTATTGAATTAAAGTTGTATTTGTATGGCCATGCTGGAATAATCTGTTGCATTTAAGTCCCTACTCTAGCTAGACTGAATTAATCAAATTACTCTTATAATGTACGCAAGACGAATAGTTGTCGGAAGGGTGTCGGCTGACTTGAAAATACTGCCAGCTTGCATTTAGGACTTTTATGACGAGAGGATTGGGCTGACTCTAGCTAAGTTGAAATATTCACAGTCGGGTTTATAGTTTTGTTAAAGGGAGTATGCTCAGACCAACAGACAGTTCAAGCAAGTTTGATTCAACGCCTTCAAAATGCATATAAAACGTCAACGCCAGTGTCTCTATTATCCGCCGAAACAGATTCCATTGGGCGAAAAAAGGCAATAGCCGTGACCATTATATAAATGGATAACTGAAAATCAGCGATGACACGAGGTGTTCGCGAAAAACGTCCGCGAACTGACGTTATTTGTCTGCAAACTTAGTCAATCTGACAGTTAATGCACTCTGAACAAGATTGGCAATTTCCGATGAAAAGCGGGTACGGAAAGTTGCGAGGTTGGCCGATTGCAGATTCTGATTGCACTTATGACTACGAGACAACGTGTTGGTTTACACACGGGCAACAATCACGTGTAGACCTAGACTTGAAGTGGGCGCCACACCTTGGAACATAGTCCCCTTTAAGACTAAATTTCAAACCGGTTTTGGTTCGCAGACACCAGATCCTTACACTTCTCTGGGCATGGATCGAAGGAACGATTTGTATTGTTTTCCCTCAAACCTTGTACAATAGTCACCTGCACATGCTTAACCTTGTTTCGAATAATTATGTAGAGTCAATAGACGTGGAAATCCACTTTGCTGCAACCATTGTTAGTCATCTATCACACTAGATTAACGTTACTGTTTATGTGACCCGTGAAGATTCCGGGGTAGAATAGGTCTTCAGCAACCCATGCTTGCCGTAAAAGGTGACTATGCTTGTCGTAAAAGGCGACTTACGGGATCGGGTTGTCAGGCTCGCTGACTTGGTTGATGCATGTCATCGATCCCAATTGCGTGGATCGATGCTCATGATATTAATCACTGGATTGTCTGGTCCAGACTCGATTATTTACAGACCGCCGTCATATAGCGGTAACATTGCTGGGTGCGGCGTTAAACAACAAACCAACCAACTGTTTATGTCAGTAGCGACTTTCGGACATACTGCCATAAAACGTCCTGACGAAAAAAAAACGGAATTGATTGCGAATGCGTTTTTAAATCCCGGATTGTTTGGTTTGTTTACATACCACCGCTGCATGGCAGGTATACTGTTGGCTGGTGTCAGGCACCATACACATCCTTTTTCAGTTGCGGCTGCTACCGGTAGAGCAGGACCTGCTTATCCTTTACGCCAACACCTGGTGTCATACCCGGGGGCACGGGTGGCCCAGTCGTCTAAGGCGCCGCGATTCGCTGTGCAGAGTTGCGTCCCTTGGGCACGCCAGAAACCTAAGATGGCGGGTTCGAATCCCGATTCGCCCCGATTATGTTTCTAGGTTTGTCAGCACCATACCCGTGCTCGTGGGTTTCACCGAAATGGTAAACGTCTGAGACCTGCATCACTTCAGGCTTTCCTCCCACATTAAGCTGACACGCCGCGATATAACTGGAATACTGTTAAAAGCGGCGTTAAACCCAACTCACTCACTCACTGGTGTCATCACTTATTTTCAGTTAGCCATTCATATAATCTGCGACGCTATTTGCCTTTCACGCCCAAAGGAATCTGTTAAGTCGATTAATCAAGACTGGTTATTCTCTGGCGTTGACGTTTGATATAATTAATGGCATGAACTAATTTTTTTCTTGAAAACATGATGTAATATATACTCGATGAATTAGTTTTTAGTGAACGCGAAGATTTTATGGTAGTTTAACGGATGATTCAGTTGTATAATCTGATGCCTGTCACTAGTGAAACCATCTATTATAACTCGTGGGTTGCAAGAAGAATCAAAATCCTGTGATAATTCACACCATGCATACTCATATTACGTGCTCACCACATACAGTGAAGTGATCACCGCTAAAACAAGTCAGTGCTGCAATTAGATGTATTATGATTTGTTTTATCCAAGATGGCGGACATTTCTGAGCGAAAACTTATATAACGAACAATGTACATAACGAACTGATTTCTTAGGCCCCTTGCAGTTCGTTATACCCATGTTCTATTGTAGTTCCATCTACTGTGAATCCGCGACCAAACTGTTTTCTTTTCACAAGAAAACAACAAAGTTGTACGCCATTCCAAGGATTGCAAAGACAGACAGAAACGTGTCGATACCTCGAATATTCTTGAACAGATCGGTAGGGGGTCACAGTTACTTCACTACAGATTCCTGCCAAATCTCGCGAGATCCACCAGATGCATAGTGATCGCAAATTGCCCCAACCCTCTGTAATCCGAGATTGACGATGACCTTTCGTCTTTCGGACAAATCCAGCAAACTTTTATAAAATTTGATTTTGTGTCCAAAACGAGACACACTGAATTTCCTGTATCTGTTGTGTCAGGCTCCTTCCCAGACATAAAATAACGCTTGGCCTTTATCCAGTCCTGCAGGTTAGGAAGGGGAATTGGTGAGTAAATAAACTCAAATCAACTTACTGAGCTGACATCCGGGCCCCCAGAAGCCTTCCCGGCATCCTCCTACGCAGTTGCCATGGACCTTGTCACAGACCTCGCTCCTCCTGCACCGACACCGGAAGCGACACTTGTAGCCAAAGAAGCCATCTTGACACCGGCTGTGGAGATCCTGAAGGCCGTCTGAAAACGGAAAGAGGGACATGTTAAAATGATAAATCAGTATTTAGGATGAATTGTTTACATTTTAGGGCACACATTTCACCGACGGATGAAAGTTTGTGTATTTTGCAAATTGGTTTATCATATTTTCAATTGAAAGATTTTATGTACTGCTTGAACCATACTTGTCCAATGGCTCAGGATGGTCTGATATTGCAAATATTCATTTCTCCACAGTAAATATTTTGTTCTGTTAGACAAATCCACGCATTCCGGGGGTTATGCTACTCATACTTTTGGGGCGCATTTAAAATCTTGGGGTTTTGAGTCTTAATTCAATGTTGACACTTGTCGAGTTGTGAGACAAGCTAGCCCTGGCCATTAGAGTCAAATACATCGTCACATCTTAGAATACAGTGAACTATGGTTAAAACGAACACGCCTATAACGAACTAACGGATATAACGAACTAACTTTGTAGTCCCGACTATTTGCTGTAGTTATACTGTATATATGCTTATAACGAATTACGGTTATAACGAACTAAAATTAGTAGTCCCTTTGAGTTCGTTATAACCGTAGTTTAGTACAAGTATACATGTAAGTATCTGTATCAATAATATGTATCAATACTATGTATCAATAATCCCTTCATCACAGAGCAGGGTAGGCGCCTGCCTGGAGAGCGGAAGGACGTGTTTTGATCTCAGCCACGTCACGATAAAAGACGTTAAAATACGGTACTTGTTGTTACCCTGCCTTGGGCTCGGCATTAACATGATTAAGGGGCTAAAACAAGGACTGGTCGACTCGGGAGTCAGCATATAACATGTCTGAGTGAGTTATTCATGTTATACTGTTACATGGTACCTTTGTGGGCTAGCACTATAAAACAGTCATACGATCGGACTAGAACAAGTGCACGCACGCGCGCACACGCACACACGCACACACACGTCGCCAATACATCCGTGCTCCTAGGTTTCAGCAGCAAACCCTGTACAACGTACGCCAACTCCCCTCCCACTTGAAGCTGTCACGCTGTTAAATAACCGAAATACTGTTGAAAGCGGCTTTGAACCCACATAACTAAATCCCATTTCTGTGAAGGAGCTTCGTTAAATACAGAAACATAAAAAACATTTAATGAAATTCAATTTAATGACATCCTCCTTCTTAAGTCGGTAGGAAGTCAACACTTTATCTGTTTAACCATAAATATCTTATTATTGAAAAAAGAAAAAACCTTGGCCATTTCGAGGAATAAAAGTCAGAAATAGTGCCGTTTATTTCACTATCCCTGCAAATCATTCGATATGATTCAGAACAGTTTGGGGTTTTCATTTCGCCATGACTCTTGGATAATCATCTATTCTGCATAGCACATAATAAAAATACAGTGAAAGTGTCGTTGATAGCGAAGTTCGTTGTCGATCACGAAGCTTAGTAGAAAATGATTGCATCGGAGTACCATGTAACCGTCGATATGGAAACGCCTTAGTCATACACTCGCACGTCTTGAGGAAAGAATGAGAAATTTTACAACTGAGAGTGCATTTAGTGAAAGTTTGCACTTCACTACCTCATTTCATTCACTACTTATTCTTCAGTTTGGGATTTGGAAGCACGAACGCCTAACAGCACAACGCATACTCAGCTTCATTTCCACTGTAAAAAGGGCCTATATCTCAGGCGGTCGATAAGGAAATCTGACAACGCAAACTAGCACTGCTAAGCAAACGTGACGGTAATAACCGAACATGGCCGCGATTACGCAAAACGTAAATCACCAAATCGTTCATCTCCATCCGATATTTTATTGAAATAGACGACATAAGGAATTAAGAATTCAACAGCTTAATACCCGACCTCTCGGGTTTATTTTCTTCTGAATATGAAACCGACCATTTATTCTTTCCAAGTCAGCTTATTGCCTAGGTCTCTATTCAGAGTAAGTCCATTAACCGCCAGTTGGAGAGTGGCGGGGTATTTAAGGCAACTGGATAAACGACATCGGTCGTAAAATGTCCAAACATTGATTCCGTTTGATTTACAATTCCATCAATTTCATGTATTGTATTTCAAGTAATTGAGTCGAGACTCATATGCCCTGATGTTTAACGTAAGCACCGAACCCTTGGGTTTAGAGCCTGCTATTAAAGAACCAGCGTCAAACTCTTTGACCAATCATTCCAGCGAAACCACGGGAGCGGAAAATCCATGTTACCAAACCGTTGTGAATTGTAGATCAAGCCATGAAATGAATTTGTATCTCAAACAGAAAACATAAGCTTCGTTGACACACGTTAATCAATACCGCCATGGAATAAACTTGGAATTCATCGAACGGTTCACACTAGGGAACCCGTTTTATTTCTCTGCAAAAAAAGACTGCTGTTATTTCGAATGGACCATTGCCAGGAACCCGAGATATGCAAATTAGCGCGTGACGGGGTTGCAGGAGCGAGGCTTGTACAGAAAATCTGCCAACCTTTCCATGCAACGATTAACATGCGTGTTTGCATGAATCATTTAGTTCGTAAACCAACGTGACTGGTCGCATTTCACAACGGCAATCCACGACCGTTTAAGACCAAATTGCCATTTGTGATATATAGTGTACGGCAATTTATATGGCACTGTCGGATGTAAGGACTAAGTATGGACGTTGATTATAACCATAATTACGTCACTGCCTTGCAAAAACGTAGTGGCCTGACTCATTGAGTGAATTCATTTGTGTTAATTTCTCTGGCATAATGCGCGTGTGCCCCATCCCTTATTTAACTGAACAAAATGTTGTAAATATTTCATATGAATGGTGATTTAAATAATCGTATTTCTAATGTAGAGTGTCACTATTATGCTATATATGTTGACACAATGACATGACCGGGCGAGCTACACTTCTTGACAAATTGACATGTCCGGACGAGCTACCCTTGTTGACAAATTGCCATGTCCGGACGAGCTACACCTGTTGACAAATTGCCATGTCCGGACTAGCTACACTTGTTGACAAATTACCTTGTCAGGACGAGCTACACTTGTTGACAAACTGACATGTCCGGACGAGCTACACTTGTTGACAAATTGACATGTCCGGACGAACTACCTTTGTTGACAAATTGCCATGTCCGGACGAGCTACACTTGTTGACAAACTGACATGTCCGGACGAGCTACACTTGTTGACAAATTGACATGTCCGGACGAACTACCTTTGTTGACAAATTGCCATGTCCGGACGAGCTACACTTGTTGACAAACTGACATGTCCGGACGAGCTACGTCTGTGGACAAACTGACATGTCACGGCCATACGAGCTACACTTGTTGACAAAATGACACTTCCAGGCTAGCTACACTTATTGAGAAAACGATACGTCCAGGCGAGCTACACTTGATGTAATCAATCAACCAGGATGATCTATTCCTGCCTACTTGACAGCTCGCGTGCTGGCCATCTTATGACTTGGGAGTTTTACGACGTTCTTTCATGCCACTATGGAGAGGAATGAAAACAGAAAATCGGTGTGAAAAGATGTCTCAGCTGAGATTGTTTCCTGAAATCAACTTTTACCGTGGTTTTATGATCATCCTGCTTCATGCCGGTTCACCTAGCCACGCATTTACCCTACCAGCCGTCAGCTAACGCCATATACACCGCCGCGAGGGGCACCAAGGACAAACTCAGCAAACGCTGATAGACATGAAACCCGATTCCTTAAAATGCATTAAAAGTTAAAGTTACCTCAAGTAAAGTTTATGTTGTAAGACATCGATACTATGGCAGGTGATCATTTATCTGCTTAACTTTATGTAGGCGAGGAATAGGTCCATTAAGGGAATTGGTAGTAGAAACTCTCACTGAACAATTGTAAATTGCAGTTGGGTCAGCGTGGAAATTCAGCGTGGGCGAAATATGTCCTCAGCCTGTCTTGAGAAACGACTAACACGTGTCTTGAGGGGAGGACGTGTCCTCAGCATCCAATGGATGTCTTGCGAACCGACACAGATGCTTTCCGTCATATGGATCCAGTGCCCTACGCTTGTCTTGGGACCAGGCACAGATGCTTTCCCTCGTGTGGACCCAGTGCCCTACGCTTGTCTCGAGAACCGACACAGATGCGATCCCTCGTGTGGATCCAGTGCCCTACGCTTGTCTCGAGAACCGACACAGATGCTCTCCCTCGTGTGGATCAAGCATCCTATGCTTGTCTTGAGAACCGACACAGATGCTTTCCCTCGTGTGGATCCAGCACCCTACGCTTGTCTCGAGAACCGACACAGATGCTCTCCCTCGTGTGGATCCAGCACCCTACGCTTGTCTCGAGAACCGACACAGATGCTCTCCCTCGTGTGGATCCAGTGCCCTACGCTTGTCTCGAGATCCGACACAGATGCTTTCCCTCGTGTGGATCCAGCATCCAATGCTTGTCTTGAGAACCGACACAGATGCTCTCCCTCGTGTGGATCCAGTGCCCTACGCTTGTCTCGAGATCCGACACAGATGCTTTCCCTCGTGTGGATCCAGCATCCAATGCTTGTCTTGAGAACCGACACAGATGCTCTCCCTCGTGTGGATCCAGTGCCCTACGCTTGTCTCGAGATCCGACACAGATGCTTTCCCTCGTGTGGATCCAGCATCCAATGCTTGTCTCGAGAACCGACACAGATGCTCTCCCTCGTGTGGATCCAGTGCCCTACGCTTGTCTCGAGGACCGACACAGATGCTCTCCCTCGTGTGGATCCAGTGCCCTACGCTTGTCTCGAGAACCGACACAGATGCTTTCCGTCGTGTGGATCCAGCACCCTACGCTTGTCTCGAGAATCGACACAGATGCGATCCCTCGTGTGGATCCAGTGCCCTACGCTTGTCTCGAGAACCGACACAGATGCGATCCCTCGTGTGGATCCAGCGTACTACGCTTGTCTTGAGAACCGACACAGATGCGATCCCTCGTGTGGATCCAATACCCTACGCTTGTTTTGACAACCTACACAGTGGGTTCCCTGTAC